GACTATTCCTCCTGCCACGTGGCTTCATCTGCAGCGTCCAGTTATCTCAATTTTTGATTGTTTAAATCGGAGTCATCCGAAGTCCGATTTGGGTGATCTCAGTGTCGTTTCCAGCATTTTTGGCCATTCCGGACACATCTATAAGGTCAGATTTTTGAGATTCAAATCCGAGAAAGAGTAAAAATGGCTGATGAAATAAAGGTTGCAGGAATTGAAAAATTTGATGGAACTGATTTTGGATATTGGAAAATGCAAATTGAAGATTATCTATATGGGAAGAAACTTCATCTTCCTCTGTTGGGGAGCAAGCCAGAAAACATGTCAGAAGAAGATTGGCAAATACTTGATAGACAAGTCTTGGGCATTATCCGGCTATCATTGTCAAGAAGAGTTGCTCATAATGTTACAAAAGAGAAATCCACAGCAAGATTGATGGAAGCCTTGTCTGGGATGTATGAGAAGCCATCAGCAAATAACAAAGTGCACTTGATGAAGAAGCTGTTCAACCTGAAGATGACAGAAAGCACCTCTGTTACACATCATCTTAATAATTTCAACACTATCACAAATCAATTGTCATCCGTTGAAATTGAGTTTGATGATGAGATCCGAGCACTTATTTTGCTAGCTTCACTTCCAAGCAGTTGGGAAGGTATGAGAACAGCCGTAAGCAACTCAGCTGGAAAATCCAAATTAAAGTATGATGATATCCGAGAACTGATTTTAGCTGAAGAAGTACGAAGAAAAGACTCGGGTGAAAGCTCAAGTTCAGGTTCGGCTTTCAACATCAACACTCGAGGAAGGAGACAAGACAGAGGCTTATCCAGAGGCAGATCAAAATCCAGGTACAGAAGCAAAAGCAAGTTTGGACCCAGGAAGCAGGTTGAATGTTGGAATTGTGGCAAACCTGGTCATTTTATGAGGAGTTGCACAAAACCAAAGAAACCTGAAGCTGATTCTGTAAATGCCACTACAGACGAGGTACAAGATGCTTTGATCCTTGCAGTACATAGTCCTATTGATGATTGGGTTCTTGATTCTGGAGCTTCATTTCACTGTACTCCACACCATGAAATGATGCAAAATTACACTGCTGGAAATTATGGGGTAGTCTATCTGGCCGATGGACAACCATTGGATATTGTGGGTATAGGAGATGTGCAAATCAAGACAATGAATGGATTTACATGGAACTTGCAAAATGTAAGGCATGTTCCTGAACTAAAGAAGAAGTTGATCTCGGTCGGACAACTTGATGATAGTGGCCATTCAATCCTTTTCTCTGGAGGAATGTGGAAGGTATCAAAGGGAGCAATGGTTTTGGCTCGTGGAAAGAAAACTGGCACTCTGTATATGACCACAAGATCAGCAGATATAATTGCCTCTACTGAAGCAGATAATCAGGCGCAACTATGGCATTGTAGACTCGGCCATATGAGTCAAAAGGGGATGAAGATACTTCAGTCAAAGGGAAAGCTGCCAGAATTAAAAAATGTTGATCTAGACATTTGTGAAAGCTGTGTTCTCGGAAAACAGAAGAAGCTCAGTTTCTTAAAGGTTGGCAGGACCTTAAGACCAAGAAAACTAGAACTGGTGTACACAGATTTATGGGGACCAGCTCCAGTAGCATTTCTTGGTGGTTCTCGGTACTATGTCACTTTTATTGATGACTTTAGCAGAAAGGTATGGGTCTACTTTCTGAAAAATAAATCTGATGTGTTTGACACATTCAAGAAATGGAAGGCTATGGTTGAGACTGAATCAGGTTTGAAGCTGAAATGTTTACGATCTGATAATGGAGGAGAATACATTGATGGAGGTTTCAAGGAGTATTGCGCTGTCAACGGTATCAGAATGGAAAAGACAGTTCCAGGCACACCACAACAGAATGGTATTGCTGAACGGATGAACCGGACCATCAATGAACCAGCTAGAAGCATGAGGTTGCATTCTGGGCTACCTCAAACATTCTGGGCTGATGCAGTTCATACTGCAGTTTACTTGATCAACCGTGGACCATCAGTACCTTTGGAGTTCAGACTGCCCGAGGAAGTCTAGAGAGGAAAAGAAGTACAGCTTGCTCACCTAAAAGTCTTTGGGTGTGTTTCCTATGTGCATGTAGACTCTGATGCTCGCAACAAGCTGGATGCCAAATCAAAGAAATGTTTCTTTATTGGCTATGGAGATGAAGAATTTGGATTTCGGTTCTGGGATGATCAAAACAGGAAGATTATCAGAAGCAGGAACGTGATCTTCAACGAGAAAGTTTTGTACAAAGACAAATCAAGTACAGAACTAGAGATAACTGATTCAGATACGAGTCCACAGAAATCTGAATTCATATAATTAGAAGGGCTTCCTGATGTTACCACTCAAGAGTCCATACAAGACAGTTCAAGCACTTCAGTACCCACCACTTCTACACAAGATAGTGTAGAGCCAAGTGAACCAGCTGTTCGCAGGTCTTCAAGGACTATAAAGCCTCCACAACGGTTCACACTTCTACTGAATTATATCTTGCTGACCGATGGTGGTGAACCATTAAATTATGAAGAATCCTTACAAGATGGAAACTCGAGCAAGTGAGAGTTAGCCATGAAGGACGAGATGGAGTCATTGTTGAAGAACAAGACTTGGGAGTTAACCAAACTGCCTGAAGGAAAGAAGGCCTTGCAAAACAAGTGGGTTTACAGAGTAAAGACCGAGCATGACGGAAGCAAACGGTTCAAAGCAAGACTTGTTGTAAAAGGGTTTCAACAACAGAAAGGGATCGACTATTCTGAGATATTTTCTCCAGTTGTGAAGCTTACAACGATCAGAGTTGTTCTGGGATAGTAGCTGTAGAAAATTTACATCTTGAACAATTAGATGTAAAAACAGCATTTCTTCATGGAGAATTGGAGGAAGACATTTACATGCAACAACCAGAGGGGTTTGCAATACCAGGAAAGGAGAGTCAAGTTTGCAAACTAAAGAAGAGTCTATATGGTTTGAAGCAAGCTCCAAGACAGTGGTACAAGAAGTTTGATAACTTCATGTGTAGTACGGGATACACAAAATGTCAGGCTGATCATTGTTGCTATGTCAAACATTTTGACAACTCCTATATCATTCTACTGCTATATGTGGATGATATGTTAATTGCAGGTTCCAGTATGGAAGAGATTGACAAGCTAAAGCAACAGTTGTCAAAACAGTTTGAAATGAAGGATCTGGGAGCTGCTAAACAAATACTTGGCATGAGAATCATCAGAGACAAAGACAAAGGCATACTAAAACTTTCACAGGCAGAGTATGTCAGGAAGGTTCTTAGCAGGTTTAGTATGGATAATGCTAAGACAGTATGTACACCTCTAGGGAATCATTTCAAGCTCAGTAGAGACTAGTCACCAAAAACTGAGCTAGAACGTGGATACATGGACCAGATTCCATACGCCTCAGCTATCGGCTCTTTGATGTATGCCATGGTCTGTACTAGACCAGATATTGCCCATGCAGTGGGAGTTGTAAGCCGATATATGAGCAATCCTGGAAAGCAGCATTGAGAGGCAGTGAAATGGATCATGAGGTACTTAAAAGGCTCATCGGAGACATGTCTTATTTTCACAGCTGGCGGTTTGAAACTTGAAGGCTTTGTAGATGCTGATCTAGCAGGAGATGTTGATAGCAGAAAGAGTACTACAGGTTATATATACACTCTAGGAGGCACTGCTGTTTCTTGGAGTTCTACCTTGCAAAAGATAGTTGCTCTTTCAACGACAGAAGCTGAATATGTTGCAGTTTCAGAGTCCGCAAAAGAGATAGTATGGCTACAGAGTTTCCTGCAAGAATTGGGCAAGATGCATGGAAAGGGTACTTTGTATAGTGACAGTCAGAGTGCAATCTTCCTTGCCAAGAATCCAGCATTTCACTCCAGAACAAAGCACATACAGATCAAATATCACTTCATCCGACAATTGCTCGACGATGAACAACTGTTACTTGAAAAGATCTGTGGAAGCAAGAATCCAGCCGACATGTTAACCAAAGGAGTTACTCTCGATAAACTGAAGCTGTGTAAAGCTTCAATGGGTCTTGAAGATTAAAAGACAGACCTAACACCATTTGTGTCCAAGTGGGAGATTGTTATGTGTGTGGACACAAATGGCCGGTGGCAGCCATGTTTGGTGGCAGCCATGGTTGGTGGCAGCCATGGTTGAAGTCATAGTCAAATGGTAGGTGCCTAACTTGCCCACCATTGTTGAACAATCATCTCCCTCCTCAGCTATAAATAGAAGGTGTATTGATAGCTGAGATAGAACACGAGATAGAGAGAAACACAGAGAGAGAGCTAAGGGTGAGAGTTGAGTTGAGTTGAGAAGTTTTCTCCTCCTCCTTGTTTTGTTGTTTGTATTGCTTTTGAGCTTAATTAATACAAACCAGTAGCTCCGTGGAGTAGGCAAGTTGCCGAACCACGTAAATTTGTGTGTGTTTGAATGTTTGGATCTCCTAACAGCAAGTTATATCATGAATGGCATTGTCACTTGGCTTCTTCCATTTTGTACAGACAAAAATAATAAGGTGTGCAAAATGCTTTTTTATTTTTATTTTTTTAATTTATTTCCAAAAAGAAATCCAGAAATCGATCATCTTTGGAAGCAGTTTGGAAACAACATTATTTTTCTGCTCACTTTGTTGCGTAAGTTCTGATGACGGAGTTTCAGAAGCCAACTTTCTGTCTTTTCTTTGCTCTTGTAATCAATGATCATTACTATATTTCTCTCTCTCCTTCTTCCTTTTCTTGTCTCTCCTCTGGCATTGAGTTGTTCGTGCGTCTTACGCTAAATGTCAATCTCTTTAATATTCTCTCCTGATACTAGCTGCCTTGTGCCTTGGCTGTTGCTTGTATCAGTTTCGTTATAAATATTCATTGATTATTCTCCTCTAAAAACCCTCTCTCCTGTAGTACGAAATTGCAAGAGCCGGTACTTTGGCTTTTGGCTCCAAGGAGTCCTGCCTACTGCATGAGAAAGTAGTAGTACCCTTTTCTTGAATTCTATTTAGGTACATTGTTTGCTTAAATGATTTTCCTTACATGTGTATAGACATCGATTTGTACGTACGGTTCATGGGATTTGCCCATTCATCTTAACTTTATTTTTTCCCCACATTTCATGATTGATAATTTGGGAATGAAACGATCTGCAATTAATATATCAATTCTGCAGCTGTTTAGCTATATATCTCAAGGTGAAAAGTCATTTTATGGAATCAAGCTAATTGCAGAAGTAGGATTTGAAAATTTAGTTTCTTTAATTTCACTTGTGTGGTCTCAATAGTCAAGGCGCCGAATGATTTCTTTGTCGCATCACTAGATTGTGAGCCGACTCAATTCGACCCTGTCCCTCAATTCTCCCTAGAGGGATGGTAGTGTATAAAGATTGGACAGCGATTGCCCGAGCTTTATATTTTTTTTTTCAATAACTCATTTAAAAGAGATTTATTGTGCTTTAAAAGTTGATGGAAAATGGATGTTTCCTAACATTAATATTGCAAATGCCCTTGAAATGAAGGTGGGACTGGAGGAGCTGAAGGAGGAATACTGCTATGGACAACACAGCAAATGCACTTGAAGCTATAAGCAAGGAAACTGTTGATCTGGTACATATTTATGAATAATCTACTGATAATGTGCTCTGAGGATCCTAGTTGAACCACAATCACATTCTTAATAGAGAGTTATAAAATCTATTTCAAATGTGCACTCTGGAAATAAGCGCATTATAGTGTTCTTATTTTCAGTTGTGGTCTCCTAATAATTAGTATGTGATAGAAAATTGGATTCATATCCTTCATGGGATGAGGGCAATGTTATCCCTTCCACCAGCTACAATATCTCCGTGAACATCATTCTTCTAGATGCATCATTTGATTTGTTTTTATTGCCATGTGATGAGCCAGAACCAGAGAAGGTAAACACCAGAGGAGAAAATGTAATTTTCTCGTATGGATTCTGTCACAGAAAGACCATAAACTTTGTCATGGAATAAAATAACAATAGTACGGACAGAAATCATTCATCTCATACTGACTGTCTATAAACAAGTCTAGATTAGTTGAAAGGTCTTTTAAGGATAGCGCTCTGATAATCTGTGACTGTTCTGGCAGGAGAATGTCCCTCTTGAAGAAGTTTTCGAGAAGTTGAAGTGTACCAAAGAGGGTCTCAGCGACGATGACGTTCAAACGCGGTTGGGGGTGTTTGGATACAACAAACTCGAAGAGAAAAAGGTCTAGAGAACTGTTTCGGCTCCAGTTTCTTTTCCTTCGATTGTAGTTGATTTTGTTGCTAGTTTCCTCCGCAACTTCATGTTTTCCAGCTTCCTCTGTCAAAACTCAATCCCATTATTTGCTTTACAGGAAAGTAAAATACTCAAGTTTTTGGGCTTTATGTGGAATCCATTGTCATGGGTAATGGAAGCAGCAGCAATTATGGCCATCGCCCTTGCACACGGAGGGGTAAGTATCTTATGTTGAAATCCCCATCTTTGACATGATTGCACTGCAAGCAAAACAAGAGCTAGTGATTGATTATTGTGAGGCAATCATTGTGCAGGGTAAAGGTACAGATTACCATGATTTTATCGGCATTTTGGCGCTGCTTATTATCAATTCAACCATCAGCTTTATAGAGGAAAATAATGCTGGAAATGCAGCGGCAGCTCTTATGGCTCGGCTTGCACCAAAAGCAAAGGTTCGGGATTTATTTCTGTTTCTTTTCGATTTTTTTTCTTTTTTGTATCTTACCTATTCTCCAACCATTTCATCAACTTTTCCTTTCCCTTACCTGTTCATGTAATAGGTTTTACGTGACGGGAAATGGAAAGAGGGAGAGGCCGCAGAATTGGTCCCCGGAGACATTGTTAGTATCAAATTAGGTGACATCATTCCTGCCGATGCTCGATTGCTTGAAGGAGATCCTTTGAAAATTGATCAGGTGCCTTACCATATAAAGCATGTTTTGGAAGTTTTGCTTGTACACCGTTGTTTGAATTGGTAGCATCATTTAACAATGAGATAGACTGTTGGAAACCCAAGGCCCCGGAAACATAACATGAACTAGAATTGGAGACTAGCAAGAGTATTTATAAGAAATGTTTCTATTCTAAGCTGTTTTTTATGTTACTTTTCTTTCCTTTTTAGTCTGCCCTTACAGGAGAGTCGCTTCCAGTAACTAAGAATCCTGGTGATGGAGTTTACTCTGGTTCAACTTGTAAGCAAGGTGAAATTGAAGCGGTTGTTATCGCTACTGGAGTTCATACCTTCTTTGGAAAAGCAGCACATCTTGTGGAAAACACTACACATGTTGGGCACTTTCAGAAGGTTAATCTCAGAATTACTTCACTTTTCCAATACTGATTAAAATTTGGTGTGGTTGTGTATAGTGTCAACGAGGCACGCATATTGCTCTCTCACATTCAAAGAACGGAAGTTATATACCCCATTCGTAGGATATAGTCTTTGCATGTAACTTCTGCTAAACTATTACTAATTAATGTACATATAATGAGAGATAATCTTGCTAATTGTTCCAGGTCCTGACTGCAATCGGAAACTTCTGCATCTGCTCCATTGCCATTGGGATTTTGATTGAAATCATTGCAATGTATGGGATTCAAGGAAGGGCGTATCGTGTTGGCATAGATAACCTTCTTGTTTTGCTCATTGGTGGTATCCCCATTGCTATGCCTACAGTTCTTTCCGTAACCATGGCTATAGGTTCTCATCGTTTGTCTCAACAGGTCTGTGACGCTGCGTGTATCATAATCATGGAAAACTGCAGTAAGGGGATAAACCAGTTCATGTAGGAATCATTAACGATAATCAAATTTTCATGCAGGGGGCCATAACAAAGAGAATGACTGCTATTGAAGAAATGGCTGGGATGGATGTGCTCTGCAGTGATAAAACAGGAACTTTAACTCTTAACAAACTTACAGTCGACAAATCTATGATAGAGGTGCTACTTTTGATGCTATTGTATTAAGTCTCCTCAATATTTCTAGGCAGTATATATGTACAAATTCCTATTAACTAGGAACGAACTTGAGCAGAAGAGTACAGCTTTATGATATATGTATTTTTTGCAAGTAGAATAAAAATTGTCTTTAAATACTATCAGAACAGATTATATATTGAACTTACCTTGTGTGACGTTTAACCCCATCCATTTTATTGCAGGTTTTTTCCAAGGAGGTTGACAAGGACATGGTTGTCTTGATGGCTGCAAGAGCTTCACGGTTGGAGAATCAAGATGCTATTGATGCAGCCATTGTTTCCATGCTGGCTGATCCTAAAGAGGTAGTGCGTCTTGCCAATTAAATAAATGTTCTCACATTCATGCGTATATTTTTTTTTTAATAATACTGTTATGGAGTTGTCAAATTGCAAGTAGTGGATGTTTACTTTATCATATGCAAGAATTGCTATGATTATTCCAGGAAAACTGTATTTGGCCTCCTTTATCTTTCAAAGATTATAGCCTTTTCATTTGTTCATGAATAATTAGATAATCAGTGCCTCTGTGCCTAAATTATGGTTGGTATTCTCTGTCAAATAATTAATTTTTTTGTGCAATTTGAAGGCGCGAGCTGGAATCACAGAAGTTCACTTTCTTCCCTTCAATCCAACTGACAAGAGGACAGCACTTACATACCTAGACAGTGCTGGAAAGATGCACCGAGTGAGCAAAGGAGCACCAGAGCAGGTTCTTAGTTAGAAGCTTCATTTCTAATCTCTTCAATCCTTATCATAAATCCAAAACTTATGCACTTCTTATGCGGAAATGAAGATTCTCAATCTGGCATGGAATAAATCAGACATCGAAAGAAGAGTGCATTCCATAATCGATAAATTTGCTGAGCGTGGACTTCGATCCCTCGGTGTTGCTCGACAGGTTTAAGCTTTGATTTTCTTATTTAGTGTTCTAGGAGTTCGTTCCTCAATAGAACTTTTAGAAATGGTCTGTGTTATTACTTACAGGAGGTGCCTGCTGGTAACAAGGACAGTCCTGGTGGGCCCTGGGAATTTGTTGGTCTTCTCCCTCTTTTTGATCCACCACGCCATGATAGTGCTGAAACTATTAGGAGAGCTCTAGATCTAGGTGTAAGTGTTAAAATGATCACAGGTGACCAGCTAGCAATTGGAAAGGAGACAGGAAGGCGGCTTGGTATGGGAACAAACATGTATCCATCATCCTCTTTGCTTGGTGAAAACAAGGATGGAGTTGGAGCTCTACCAATTGACGAGCTCATAGAAAATGCTGATGGTTTTGCTGGTGTTTTCCCAGGTAATTAGGTTCATTACAGTTTGTGCCATGGTGAACCAACCTAGCGTTCCCATCTGACATATTATGCCTTTTGTAGAGCACAAGTATGAGATTGTGAAGCGATTGCAAGCTAAAAAACATATAGTTGGAATGACGGGCGATGGAGTTAATGATGCACCTGCATTAAAGATAGCAGACATAGGAATCGCGGTGGCAGATGCAACAGATGCTGCTCGCAGTGCCTCTGATATTGTTCTGACAGAACCTGGACTTAGTGTAATCATTAGTGCTGTTTTAACCAGCCGTGCCATATTTCAAAGAATGAAGAACTATACCGTGAGTTGATAAAAGTAACTGCTGAATTATGGGATTATACATGACTAGAATCCTTAGTACACGTTGCCTAACATTCGTTTTGTTTCTTCCAGATATATGCAGTATCAATCACAATACGTATTGTGGTAAGTTTCTAATTCTCTCTTCGTGGTTCCTGAAATACTATGTGGTTCCTGAAATACTATTTCCTGAGGAGCTCATCATATTTGCAAGATGTAGCTTTCATCGGTCACTACTCATTGGCTTCTGGATACTTTTGCAACAGATGGGATTCATGTTGCTTGCTGTCTTCTGGAAGTTTGATTTCCCTCCCTTTATGGTTCTCATCATTGCCGTTCTCAATGACGGTGAGCATTTTTGCAAAGTAAAATGCAATTAGCAATCATCTTGACATGCAAATTCTCATATACCTTTATTTCAAATTATTTCCAGGAACAATTATGACAATATCCAAAGACAGAGTTAAGCCATCCCCAATACCAGACTGTTGGAAGCTTAGTGAAATTTTTGCAACAGGGATAGTGATTGGCAGCTACCTTGCTGTAATGACAGTCGTATTCTTCTGGCTGGCTTTTAAAACCGATTTCTTTCCGGTAAATGCATCTATTGCTATCATGTTTCTATAAGCATTGTGTTCTAAATTTTTCATTGTAGGGTAAAGAGGGAACCTGGTGTTTTCTTTTTGAGTAAAAATGCAAAGAGCTATCAACTCAACTCATTTGCATCATACACTGCCTTTTGACAATACCTACATTTCCGTTTTGTTGTCGCAGAAGCACTTCCATGTAAAAAGCTTTCACCAACATTTGGATCTTTCGGATAAAGTTCTCTCCAAGGAACTGAATGGACAGCTAGCATCAGCCGTGTACCTTCAAGTTAGCACCATCAGCCAGGCTCTAATATTTGTGACTCGTTCCAGGAGTTGGTCATACAAGGAAAGGCCTGGTCTTCTTCTTCTTTCTGCTTTCATCGTTGCTCAATTGGTAAATGCTTCGAAACTTGCAAGTTATTAAACAATATTTCATTGCCTGAAAGATTTATTTTTACTTTCTAGTCCAAAAAGACTACAGTTCTAAACTAACTGTTTAACTGGTACAGATTGCAACTGTGATCTCTGCCACAGCAACATGGGATTTTGCTGGAATCAGTAAGATTGGCTGGCGCTGGACTGCTGTCATATGGCTATACAACATTGTCACATACAAGCTGCTTGATCCTATCAAGTTCGCTGTTCGATATGCACAGAGTGGCAGAGCCTGGAGTCTGGTATATAACCAAAGAGTGAGTGAAAGAAAACCTCAATCGTCTTTCTTTTAAATTCTTGAGAACTTCCTTCTGAGATTTGGCCATTATTTATTGTTCAGACAGCAATGACCACCCAAAAGGACTTTGGTAAGGAAGCTCGAGAAGCTGCGTGGGCGGCTGAGCAACGATCACTTCATGGCCTCCTATCTATGGAAGCAAAATCGTTCCCCGAAAAGCACACTTTCAGGGACATTAACATCATGGCAGAAGAAGCCAGAAGACGTGCAGAGATTGCAAGGTTTGGTCTCTTTCTTGCGAATTTCATATTTCATGCTTATTCATCACGATTCCTTCCACTTACGGTATTGCATACAAATTTGATATCTCTTTTCATGCCAAGCAGATTAAGAGAGCTTCACACCCTGAAAGGCAAGGTAGAGTCCATTGCCAAGTTAAGGGGTTTAGATATCGATGTCAACCCCCACTACACAGTCTGAATGATGAATTCATTTCCCAAATAAAGTGCCTCCTCGGAAACCGATTAACTGGTAGAGAACGGCCGCATTACAAGGTGTCAATGGTGCTTCTGCTGCAGCTTTCCTTTTCTCCTTCAATTCACCCTATGCTGTGCTTGTTCGCCACCATTTGAATGAGGTGCACCAAGCTCAAATGTTCCAAGTATCAATAAAAGGTCGAATTGGACGGCCCTTTTTTTGCCCCTTCATCAATGTTATTGCAATATTTGAATGTAATCATGAATTCTCATCATAATACAGCTTTGTAGAACAATTAAATTTTTGTTTTTCAAGGGAAGTCCTTTCACCACTCAAAATAAATAAGAAAGCCGAAAAAGATTGCATTGCACTGTGTAATCCAATCATCATAAAAGAAAGAAATGTAAACTATAGTATAAGTCATCAAAACTATAAAAGTAAGAGAGAATCTTGGTCCAACCATTCACGTATAACATGTTTAGTAATATTATATAGGATTTGATTGAGAAATTTTATGACGATAAAGGTGTAATTAACCAGGGAAGTGATTGCAGAGAGACCACAACTGGGGAGACCCTTTTCTGTTAGCATACAGACTGCGAAAGCAAAACATCAATGAGATGAGCCACCTCAGGAATGGCAGAGGCAATAAAGAAAGAAAAAATCCAGGAAAAAGCATTCCCGGAAAAAAAAAAAGAATTGAAAAGGATGGAGTGAAAAAAGATGAGAAAAAGCAGAAGTAAAAAGGCAATCTTTGGGTTCTTGAGCCTGGATTTTTCTCAGTTTTGATTTCTTACCAAAAAAAAAAAAAACAAGTCAATATAGAAAGCTAAAAAAAAATGAAACCAGGACCTGATCTGAATGGTTAGGAGGGTGCCTCTCAAAGGAACCTAAAAATGGTAGCACACCCAAAATCAAGCAACATCAGTGAGAGTGCCTATGAAACATGGACAAACAGAGCTCGTAACAAAAAAAATACCTGACAAAAATTATGCAGCCTAGCCAAAATTGTGGACAAGTCAGCCAAAATAGAAAGCAAACAACAGATTTCAAAAGAATCAAAGAACCCAACCGAGAAGCCAGCCAAAATTGACAGGAAAAAATGAGAAAAGCTAGTGCCTAACCCAAGTAGCCCCCCCGAAAACAGCTCAAGCCAGATACTCATGGGCAACAAAATCTCCATCAACCAAGATTAGTCGATCACACACGAAGGTCACATTCATAGCCATAGATGCCACACTATTGAAATCCATAGGAAATCACAGTCTGTATCCACAGTGCTTAGCACAGTAATATCGCCGGATGAATTAGTTTTTTTCTGTAACTGTAACGTAATGTGACAATCAGGAATCGAAGGCTATTTGTTTTGACGAAGCTCGCCCAAGCTGTTTGAGTTAGCCAATCTAAAGTCTGGAGAAAAACCAGCTGAGTAAAGCAGCCTGCAAACCCGGTCCACAAAGAAGCCAGTAACAAAATACCCAGCCAGCCTCAGCCCATCCCAGTCCACCAGGAATGCAGCCAACAAAATCCAAAAGATGAAAGAAAACCACCCAACCATGTAAAGGACGCATGAAGAGCACTATTATGGTTAGTTGCCATTTGTATATTTCAATTGGCTAGTTTATTTCATCAAGTTGCAAGGAAATTTCTTGATAACTAAAGATTGTCCATTTTCATGGATTCTCAGGATAGAAACCCCATCACGAAACAAATGGAGGACATTTCAACTAAGTTAGATGGTTTTGAATGGAAATGATCAATCAAAAGTGGTGGTTTATGTTTTTGGTTTACATATTACTTTCTTCGCCTATCCATTATTACGTTGCTTTGAGTGAAAACTTTATTTGCATAAATCTTTGGCGATGCGTGTACCAAATCAATTTTCTAGTTAGAGCTCATTCCTCATCTCTAATGCACTCTTGATCTGCAAATTATAAAAATATGCTTATGTCTTAATTCTCACAAGCTTTCTTTGCTGTGGTTCAAGTGACTGTGCTGCTTCCTTCTTGCCTTTTTACCTTTGATAACGTAAACTGACCTTAAGATGACCTTCTTCTTCCATCTCCTTAATTTTGTAGAATACGCTTTTGTTTTCTTATAAAATTCAATTTCGTATTTTAGTGGTATTCATGATCATCATTTTAATTTTATTTTTGATGATTCTTTATCTAATGTGGTTTTACATTTACAAACCTATAAAAATTAAAATAATGATATTATAATGATTTTAATAGGACAATAAAATCAGTGTTTTATTTTGCATGACGTATTAATGATAAAATACAAATTAATATAATTAAAAAATTAAAAAATAATATATGTTTTTCTAAAATTTAATTTCAACAATCGTTTTAATTAAATATATTGAACATAGTTTTTGCTAAGTATCAATTTTAAATATAATTTTAATCAAACATATATTTTAATCAAATAAATTATAATTAAAAATAATTTTATAATTTATTTTTTTCATATTACAATCCTAAAAGTTATTATAATATCAAACCAGGAAAGAGGCTGATGGTCGTTGATGGTTAACGCGCCGCGTGAAAGAGAGTGAAGTGGGTGTTGATGTTTCTATTATCACATATGATATATTAATAATAATAATAAAAAAATATATACTGTATTAGCTAAACTTGAGTACCATAAAAATTAAATTAAATGTGTATTCTAATTCCGGTTACTTAGAGGAGTCAAAGAAGCAGCATATAAAAATTCAAAAGTAAAAAAACAAAAATAAACATGTTTAGATTATTATTATTATTATTTAGCCGCATGAAATTATTATTATTATTTTGGTAAAGAGTAGAATGATTTTTAATAAATTTTTTTATTAATGTGGATATTCAAGTATTTATTTCTACTTTTTACACAAGTTTTGAAATTAATAATAATATAAATATTTAATAATTTTAAAATTTATAAAATCTAAAACAATAATATTTTAAAAATAAATCTATAAACGGATCATATATGTAAAGTTATAACTTCCAAATTCTTGATAAGGTAAGAAATCACATGGGCCTCGTAAGGAAAGGAGCACATACATGGTTTTATTCTCTGCGGGTGTGGTAATCGGTACACAGCATCTCTCAAAAGCCTCAATCCTGATATTGCTGAAGAAACCACGTCGTGCATTGCTGTCCACGTATTTCCCAATCACGCGTTCATGCCTGGAGTATGCTTCACGCACCAAAAATTAGAAAATAAATAAATAAATCTTTTCATGATTTCTTTCACCTCTGTCGGTCCAACATGACAGCTTATATAATTGATTAGACTTTGGGAGTGTTTATATAATTCAGCAATATTGAGTTGCAGAGTTACTAGCAATTAAAAAAAATATCTATCTGCAATTACCTATTGAAAAAAGAGGAAAGAAAGAAAATTGAAAAAAAATATTATCATTTAGCATTAAGCTAAATTGATGAAGTCTCCCTTGGATTTAATGTCATTTAAGAATCAGTTTATATTAGCTATTTTACTCGTGACTATCCGCTGGTCATTTTTTTTTTCAACAAAAATATCAAATACATGGATTTTCTTCCATGTGTTTTTTAACATAATTTCTTTTTAAGTATAAACTAAAAAATTTATGGAAGCATAAACTAAAAAATTTATATAAGCATCCAATTAAATAAATAAATAAATCATCTATATAAATAAATTAAAAATAAAAACAACACAATAACTTGAAAAAAAAATCTTTGAAAGTATAAAGTTGAATAAAAAAATAATGAAAAATCAGCCTAAGTCAACCAAGAAGAGTGTGATAGACATGCAATATGGATAATAAGGAGCGAATTAGCTAGCAAAATTTGTGGCTTAGGTTATGAGATATGAATAACTAAATAGAAAAAAACTAAAAAAATCACAAAGTCAATTTGTTTAAAAAAACTAATGTCGAAGAATGTTGACACATGTTAATTTTGTAAACCCTTAATTCGGGTTATTAGACCGAAAGCACTATATATGAAAAAAAAAACACGAAGCTTAATCCCCAATAAATCAAATATTGAAGCATGAAATTAAAAAAAAAAATTAACAAAAGGATTTAAGATTAAAAAAATAAAAATAAAAATAATGAGAAAAAAAATAAAAATAAAAATAAATTAGAGGGTAACCAAATTTTTTTTTTATTGGAGAGTAAATTTAAATGTGAAATAACTTAAAAAAAAAGAAAAGAAAATTAAAAGAATGAAGACCAAATTCAAAATAATAATACATCATAACTTAGATTGGATGATGAAATTAAAAACATACAATACTTTTATAAAAAGACCAAAGAAAAAAACTAAAAATCAATAGGATAAGTTGATTTTTAAAGTGTTTTTCGCTTAGAAATATATTAAAATATTATTTTTTAAATTTTTATTTTTGATATCAGCACATTAAAATAATTTAAAATACAAAAAAAATAATTTAAAAAAATAAAAAAATTTCAAAAAAATATTTTTTTACCACAAAAATAAATATTCTCTAAAACATCTCCCTAACATTCCTACAATTTTGACTTTTATTCTCTTTCACTATTCATGTTAATTTGTTTGGTCTCACTATTAAAAAAACTATTCTTAATTAAAAAAATCTAAAAAGATTTTGAATACTTCTAACTTTTAAATAACTTTAATAACCATCAAAAGCCATTTTTTTTTTTTTATAGATTAACGTGGGTGTCCGGGCCAGCTTGCGCGCACCACGACTAATCCCACGGGCCCTGAAGTTAACGACCATGTAAGCCTCCAGTGGCCATCATATGAGCAACCAAGGACTCGAACCTGAGACCACAGAGGGAGCAAACCCCTTAGTCCCAAGTCTTTATCACTTACTCACCACCTAGATGGTTAAAGCCACCATTATTTTCTTGATTGTATTTCACTTTGTTTTATGACCGACATATATTAATCTTATAATTGATATAGGTATATGTGTGTATATATAAAGTTAATTTTTTTTTAGAGATAATAAATGTTAAATATAAATTTTTTATAAATATCATGATGTCGAAATAAGAATATTTAAATGATATTATTAAAAAAAAGACTAAAAATCCATGAATTGTTGCTCCTAGTTAAATATCATTAGGGTTGCATGTCTCCATCTTTAGTCACTTTGTCGGTAAATCACCACAAACAAATTCTCTCAAACAGTATCTATATGTCTTCCTAGAAGGAATATGCTTTAAAATCCATGCCCTCATGTAAAATAACATCATGCCACCCTTCACATTCCTGAAAGGCGCGTTTGACAAAATCTCATGTTTAAACACACTCCCTCCTCTTTCATGACTTGCTGGTTTAATCTTCCTTCTTTTGATATCTTCATTTTACACCACATGTTGAGCAAGATTTCCACTATACTTTAATCGTGGCTTTTTGCAACATATATACTCTCAAGATGAGCACACGTTATTGTCACTTCATGAAGTTTCCCTTCAGCATTTTGATTTGTTTGAATATGCTATTTCTTTGTCATGAATCGAACTTGGCCATGCAAACTATTGATGACTCCGAATGACGAAGAACCCAATAACATTTTCTTGTTATGATACATTTTTTTTATAACCCCGCTCCCTCCCTCTCTCTGCTTTCGATTTGTAGGGTTGTGGTTAGTTGGGATTTGCGTTGCATTTTCATCAATGGAGTTGAAGCTTCTTGACTCCAAATCATCATCTTTATCTAAGAAAGCAGCCCTCGTGGCAAGGACAAAATCAAGTCCGTTTTCCAGTTTCGAACATTCAGTTGGTGTTAAATTTTCTCAAGAGTTCAGTTCTTGCAGAGGTAAGTGGGACTGGTGATGAATCATTGTATTAGCACTACAAGTCCATGCGGTTTTGTTATATGCCTTGTTTTTGTCTGTGTTGCTCAATGTTCTTGGCATTCAAGCAGGGCATTTACACATTTCGATTTGAAGGGTTTGTTTTTGTTTCTGTATCAGACATTTTGAGACCCAGTTCATGCTCTGAGCCATTCTTTTTTCCTTCTGAAGTTATCTGTGTTTTGCCGAGGTTGTTCTGCTCTTTGCTAATTAGTCTTTAAACAGAGACCAAGTGCTAGTAAATGATTATAAACGGACAAGCATGTCTCATCTCATTAGGTTATAGCATTTACTGATTTCCTGCTCTTGC